CTGAAACCTTAATTTATTACTTCTAATAGTATTTTAATTTTAGCATTTTATATATATAACATATAATTTCAGCATTTTATATATATATATATATCATGTCATATGCAAATAGAGATCATTTTACTTTTACTTTTCTAATCTGGATGATTTTTATTGCATTTTCATGCCCAACTGCACTGTCTAAAATTTCCAGTACAATAGTGAATAGGAATGTTGGAAATGATATTTTTGTCCTGTTCCTGATTTTAGGGGAAAGCATTCAGTCTTTCACCACTAAGCAAAATGTTAACTGTGTTTTTTGTAGATTTTTTTTAATCAGTTGAGGAAGATCCATTCTATTCCTATGGTGTTGACTGCTTTTATCCTGAAGATGTGTTGGCTTTTGTCAAATGCTTTTCCTGAATTTATAGAGATGATCATGTAGTTTCTATCCTTTACTGTTATGATGTATTACATTATTTTTGGATGTTAAGCCAATTTTGCATTCTTGGCATAATGCCATCTGGTGTTTATATATAACCTTATATATATTTCTAGTTTTGGTATGTTGATATTTTGATGAAGATTTTTGCCAAGGCTCTTTGTGGACTGGTTTACTTATTTTTAATCTGAAGAACTTCCTTTTAATATTTCCTGAAAAGTTTGTATTATAGTAAGAAATCCTCTCATTTTTCTGTTTATATGGAAATGTCTTTATTTTGCCTTCATTTTTGAAAGACTATTTTGCTGGGCTTAGAAGTTTCTTGGTTGACAGGTATTTTTTTCTCTAAGCACTTTGAATTTGTCATCCCACTGCCTTCTGGCCTCCATTTTTTGTGTGTGTAATGAGAAGTCATCTGAAAATCTTTTTGGAGCTCCTTTGTACCTGAGTCATTTTTCTTTTGCTGCTTTCAATATTATCCCATTGTTTCTGGCTTTCAACATTTTTGCTACAATGTGTCTGGATATAGATCTCTTTGTAATTATCTCATTTAAAATTCACTGAGCCCCCTTGGATGTACACATTAATGTTGTTAAGCTAATTTGAAACTCTTTAGCTACCATTTCCATGAATATTTTTTCTATTTCATTCTTTTTCTGCTCTTGTTCTTATACTCCCATATGCCTAGATTGGTGTGTTTAAAGGCTTCTCACATTTTTTGAGTCTGTGTTCATGTTTCTTCATTCTACTTTCTCTCTGGTCTTCAAATTGAATACTTTCTATTAATGTAAGATCAGGTTTCATAATTTCTTCTTCCAGTTCAAATCTACCATTGAGTCACTCTAATGAATTTTTTTAATTAAAATTTTCAACCCCAGAATTTTCATTTGGTTATTAAATTTCTCTCTCTTAATTCGCAATCTTTGATGTGCCTCCATGCCTTCATACCTTTATGCATTTCTTTTGGCTCTTTGAACATGTTTATATTGGCTAATTTGGACTCTTTGTTAAATCTGACATGTAGAGCCTCTCACAGGTAGTTTCTGTTACCTGCTTCTTGGTGTGTGGCTCATGCAGTCCTGTCTCTTTGTGTGTCTTATACTTTTTGGTTGTTGAAAACTGGAAATTTTACACAATATATTATAGCTACTCTGGATACTAATCCCCCCTCCCTTTAAGGCGTATATTTGCTTTGATGCTTGTTTATTTGTTTTGTGATTCGGCTGGCTATTTTAGTGAAGTCTGTTTCCCCAGGGCTAAACCTTGGTACTGCACCTTGGAAGGTGCAGTGCTGGGCAAGCAAAGCCCCCTTGGTGTTATCTGGTCTGTCCTGACTGGTTTTTGCTGATTTCTCCATTAAGCTATCTGACTCATTTGGCATTACACCAGTTGTTAAGGTCCACTGATTACCCAGGGGTTAGTCTATGGTTTTTGACAGTGTTCTGGGGCATAAATTGTACATCAGGCTGAGACAATTAAATTCAGGCTTGGATGATTTTGACACAAGTCTTTGAGGTTTGTTCCCACCTCAGGAGAGCCATTTTTATGTCTCTGTCTCTGTTTCATTCTAGTAAATTAGTAGGCCTATGATTTAGCTTATCGGTCTCAACGAGGAAGAGTTAGTATTTTTGAGAACATCCCTAGACTTGAACTCTCCCCCTAGTCTGTTTCAAATAGTCACTTCCTTTGGGAAGAGTTTTGGAGCTCTCTCTTCTTATGTACTACCTCTCACCATAGGCAAAATCTTACTGCCACTACTCTTGGTGATAGTGAAGTTGTAGTCACTGGTCTTCTTGGCTTGCCTTCCCAACAATCTCTTAGAGATTCTCTGCCTTACAAGCAAGCTGTGGTGAAAGTGATCAGGAACCCAATATTCTTAGCCTGTAATGCCTGTGGTAGAGATTCTGTCCCATGGATATAAGTTGATTGGCAAAGGGGAGTTCTAACCTCCTGGACACACTCATCAGGAATTTTGCCTCTTTACCTCAGATTTGGGGGTATGAGAAATGCTGGTAGCCTGCCCCTCCTGTGAGATATGGTAACCCTGATTGATAATTGAGAAGACTAGTAGTCCTACACCCTTACCACATCTGCCTGCAGTGGAGTTTCCATCAAGCAGGTTGTGAGTAAGAGAGAGAAGGAGTAGGTCATGGCTACAATGCCACAGGCTTTTGACATTCTTACTGAGTTGCAGTAGATTCGCTTGAATAAATGTTTCTTCATTTGTCTTTAGGACAATATCCAGAGTTGTGCTTTTGTAGTTTTGACCAGTTTGGCTTATTTGGGTGGAGAGCAGATCCAAAGAGCCCCACACACTTCCATACCAAAAGGAACTTTTTGTAAGCTTGTGATTTGCTGTATTTGTCATCATTTGAAAGTTTTGCCCATTTTCTTTACAAGGAAGGGCTTTAGCTATATTAATGGCAGATCCATTCTTTTAAATACCAACAAACACAAACACATGCAACTCAAACTCAATGTTTAAAAAAATATGTCCACAATAAGGGACATATCGCTAGTAATACCCAATGAAAATTAAATCTGATTAAAGAAAAATAATTACACTTTATACCTTAATTTGTGGCTGTGAATCCATTATACAGCAATAGCATACCTCAGAAGTATGTCTCCTACATTTAGATGTGTTAGACCCAGATCAGTCTGTAGAAAAACTTCACACATAATGTTTGTTTTTTTTTAATTGTACATCAGGAAAAGGAGACTTGGTCTAATAATAAAGTATACTGAACTTGTGTAATAGTCTAAATTGAAGTGTTAAGTTTGGGAAGTGAAACAAGAAATAGACATAAATTTCAAACTTACAGAAGGTATCTATAATTCATTAGAACTGTTGTGTTTTCCATCAAACCTTCTGACTCAAATATTTATTACAAATTAACAACAAAAGCACTAATTTTCAATTTATATATGTCAAAGACAAAGAAAATGTGTTCTAAAGACTAACCGTTAAATCTCAACCAAATTGTAATATTACATATAGGTAAATATTTTTAAATTCCTTTTTTTTTTTTTTTGCCTTGAGTTCTTTCTGTGGAGACAAACACATAAACACACACACACACAAACACAGAAATATTGGCCCCAGTGAGAAAAACATGCTCTTTGTTGAATATATGAAACAATGAAGCCATTACCATGCTCCAGCATTTTCATGGGCATCCAGAAGAGAATGAAGGAATGGATCAAAGCATTTAAACATTGAAACCAAAACACCTAGAAGAAAGCAAGGCAAGAAAGTTATGATAGTACATTGTTCTAAACCTAAAAACGTGACATTATGAAATATGCTTGTAGTTTGAAACAGTTATAAAGCCAAAATGTTTTCCTAGAGATGGAAAAATTCCATTTCTTCTACTTCTAAAAGAAATGACTGTGAAAGTATGGGATATTATTTGAAAAGAAAACTCATTAAATATAAATGTGTAGAACTCAAATATAGAATATTTGTTATAAAAAATTATAAAGACCAAAATTATCCAATGAAAAAGAACCAGAAGCAATTTTTAAAAGAAATAAAAATATTTTCAATACTTAGGTTGTAGTATTTTAAATATAATTTCATACCTTATTTCATATGATAAACTCTGCATCTTTACATCTCCACCCAGACTCTAGTCAAAATAAATTTTAATAAACCACATACAATTTTCTTAGAGGAAATCTTAATAATATAAAATCCCTAGGGTCAAAAAAAGGTACACCTTGGGGTTAGGAGATGGTTGAACAACAAAAACAAATCTTTGTTCTTTTGGTTCTAAATATATCAGTTATTTTTATGCTTGCCAGGAAGACTTACAGATAAAGGACTGGAGAAGAAAAAAATGTGGAAAAAGCATATTTTGTCCTGTGACCTAAATTTCCTGGAGTAAAGCTGTTTTTAGGAAAGAATGTAAGAAACTGGTTTAAAAACGCAGCTAATGCCAAATTGGAAAACCTCAAGACTCATGGAACACTGGGTAGAATACATAGAAGTTTTTGTCTTGGTACTGGAGAAAAATTATCCTTGGACTTAGCACAACCCTGTTCTTCCTAATATTAAGATGAAGATCCACGAGGATTAAATTGTTTCCAGTTAACTTGCTTGTTTTCCAGAACAAAATTCAAGAACAGTCATGGTAATACAAAGTAAAAAGCTTTTAAGCACAGCAAAGGAAGCCATCAACAAAACATAAAAGCAACCTACTGAATGGGAGAAGATATTTGCAAATGATACATCCAATAAGGAGTAAATATCCAAAATACATTTAAAAACTTCTACAACTCAACACCAAAAAAATAATCTGATTAGAAATGGGAAGACATACAAATGGCCAACTAACACATGAAAAGATGCTCAATATCACTAATCATCATGGAAATGTAAATCAAAATCACAATATCATTTTATATCTATCAGAATGGCTAAAATCATAAACACACACACACAAAAACAAGTGTAGAAGAGGATATGAAGAAAAAGGAAACTTGTGCACTGTTGGTGGCAATGCAAAGTGGTGCAGCCACTGTAGAAAACAGTATGGAGGTTTCTCAAAAAATTAAGCATAGAAATACCGTATAATCTAATAATTCCACTACTGGGTATTTACCCAAAGAAAACAAAAACACTAATTCAAACAGATATATTCACCCCTATGTTTACTGCAGCATTATTTACAACAGCCAAGACATGGAAGCAATCCAACTGTCCATCCATAGAAGAATGGATAAAAAAGGTGTGTGTGTGTGTGTGTGTGTGTGTGTGTGTCACACACACACACACACACACACACACACACACACACACACACACAATGAAATATTACTCAGCTATAAACAAAAGTATGTGATCCACCATTGACAACAATATGGATGGACCGAGAGGGTATTATGCTAAGTGAAATAGGTCAGGCAGAGAATGACAAATACCATATGATTTCACTTATATGTGGAATCTAAAAAATAGATGAACAAAAAGCAGAAACAGACCCATCAATACGGAGAACACACTGAAGGTTTCCAGAGGGGTGGGGGGTAGGGGGATGGGCAAAGTGGGTGAAGGGGTATGAGAGATACAGGCTTCCAGTTGTGGAATGAATAAGTCATGGGGATAAAAGGTACAGCATAGGGAATATAGTCAATGGTATTGTAATAGTGTTGTATGGTGACTAATGGTAGCTACAGTTGTGAGCATAGCATAATGTATAGATTTGTTGAATCACTATGTTTTACACTTGAAATAATGTAGCATTGTGTGTCAACTACTTCACTAAAAATTTTTTTAAAAGTAAATGTAAAGAAAAAATATTCAGAGTTATAAAAATATCTATCACCTAGGTAAATTTCATGATATTGGACATCCAATCCAGAATTACCAGGCATGCAAAAACAGAAAAATACTACCCAAAATAAGGAAGTAAATAAATCAATTAAATCCAACCCACAACCAACATAAATGTTAGAATTTGCAGATAAGGATGTTGAAAAGTATAACTCTACTCTTTATGTTCAAATGGTAAGTAGGTAAATAGAAGATATAAAAAATTTCCAAATAGAAATTCTATGGATTAAAAGCTACAATTTTTGAGATAATAAATTTACTAGATGGCAGTAATGCAGACTCAACACTGCAGAAGGAAAAATTAATGACATAGATATGCAGAATTAAATTGAAGACAAAATAATTTCTAAAAATACCCAAAATTTAACAGAGAGGAAAATGTATGAAACAAAAATATAGATTCATTGAGGTTTTGGATAACTTCAAGTGATCTAATATATGTATAATTGGAAGCAACAGAAGGAGGGGAGGTCGACCAGAAAAAAATATTTGAAAAAAAATGGCTAAAAATTTTCTATATTTGATGTAGACTATACCAGGAAACTTTTCTTGTAAGGGACAAAATGGAAAATATTTTATATTCTTTGGGGTCCACATTGATCTCCATTGCAACTATTCAATTATGCTCTTGTAACTTTAAGGTAATCACAGGAAATTTTTAAGTGAATGGGCATGGCTACTTCCCAATAAAAGTTTATAAAAGCAGGCAGAGGACTAGATTTGGCCTATAGACCATAGTTTGCTGATCTTCTTACTATCAACCTACAGATCCAAGAAGCTCAAAGTACCCCAAGCACAAGAACCATGAAGAAATGAGACATCACAATCAAATTGCTCAAATTTGGTAATAAAGAAAAAGATCTTCAAAGCAGCCAGATGAAAAAAGACATATTAAAGTCATAAAGATGAAGATAACAGTAATTCCACATTAAAACAAGGCAAGTAAGAAGATAATGGAAATTGCTAAAATAAACTATCAACCTAAAATTTTATGCCAAGCAAAAATAACTTTCAAAAGTAAAGGTAAAATGGGGGACGGAGCAAGATGGCAGAGGAGTAGGAGACCTGGATTTCGTCTGGTCTCAGAAATTCAGCTCAATAGGGATCAAACCATTCTGAACACCTACGAACTCAACAGGAGATCAAAGAGGAGAGTAGCAACAACTCTCTGAACAGAGAAGCGACCACTCACTGGAAGGTAGGACGTGCGGAGAAGTGAATCTGAGGCGATATTCGGGAGGATAGACGGCGGGGGAGGGGGCCTCCGTCGGCCGCTTCTGGCAAGTGATAGAGCCGCGGAACACAAAATCGGAACTTTTAGAAGTCAGCTCCGCTGAGGGACGTCACTCCAGTGGCTAAGAGGGGGGGTGGAAACCTCGCAGTACAGTGTGGACTCAGGACCCTCAGGGTCACAGAAAGACCGGGGGTGCCTGAGTGCAGCAGAGCTCCCAGGTATTGGATCGGGGAAGCCGGCTGCAGAGACGGAGCCAAGGTGCGGGCTTGCAGCTCCGGGTTGCCATAAATTGTGATCCCCGGCCCACTTGGGCCATTGCGCCTCCAGCAGGGACCCAACAAGCAGCAGAGCGGGGAGACTCCCCTCCCTCCCCCAGGAGGAGCGGCGCGGGAGTGCACCGCAGGGATCTGCTGGGTTTGGAGACTCCACATGGGGTCAGGTGCCAGAGATAGAAATGCTCGGTCACAGGCTGGGTGAGCGCGGAGTGTGGCCGGAGACCGAGAAGACGGGAGTGATTGACTGCTTTTCTCTAGGGCGCACTGAGGAGTGGGGCCCTGAGTTCTCAGCTCCTCTGGGCAGAGAGTGGGAGGCCACCATTTTCACCCTGGTCCTCCAAAGCTGTACCGAGAGCTTGCAGGGAACAAAATCTCCTGAGAGCAAACCCAAGCAGCTTGCTTAGCCCAGACTGAAAAGGGCAGGGCAATTCCGCCTCCGGCAAAGACATTTGGGAACCACGGCAACAGTCCCCTCCCCCAGAAAATCAGCACGAACAGCCAGCAAGCCAAGACCAAGTTTACCCATCAAGGAGAATGGGAGAACTCCAGCGCTAGGGGAATACTGCACATAGAATTCATGGCTTTTTTACCATGATTCATTAGTTTTTCAAAGTTAATTTTTTAACTGTTTTTTGTGGTTTTTTTTGAATTTTTCTTTTTCCCTTTTTCAACCAACATCTTATCAATCCCTTTTTTAAAAAAAAATTTTTATTTTTCAGAGTCATATTTTATCCCTTCATAGTAGTTACCCTTATTTTTGGCATATATATATAAGTTGTCCTCTCTTTAAAATTTTGATACAGTTTCTTCTAACAGATCAAAATATACCCTAAATCACTAGTGTATGGCTTTGTTCTAGTCTCCTGCCTGATCACAGTCTTTCCCACTTTTTTCTTTTTTTTAAATCTTCTTTCTTCTTTCAAACAACTTCTTATCAATTCCATTTATAAAACCTTTTATAAGTTTCATCTTTACAGTCATCTTCCATCCCTTCATTGTATCAACCCTTATTTTGTACATATATAAGTCTTTCTTCCTTTAAAATTTTAGGAGGCACTTTCTTCTAACAGACCAAAATACACCCAAAATCTAGTGTGTGGCACTGATCTATGCCCTAGCCTGATCATATTTGATCATATTCTGTTTTTTGTTTTGTTCTGTTTTTGTTTTTATCTTTTTCTTTTTTTTCTTTCTTTTTTCTTTCTTTCCCTTTCTTTTCCCCTGGTTTCAGGTCTTTTCTGATTTGTATAGAGTATATTTGCTGGGGACATTGTTAACCTGTTAGCATTTTGTTCTCTCATTTATCTGTTCTCCTCTGGACAAAATGACAAGACGAAAAAGATCACCTCAGCAAAAAGAACAAGAGGTAGTACCGTCTGCCAGGAAC